TCAGTTGTCTCATCGATCATAATATACAAATTCAAAGTGTTATCGTTACAAAGAGATTAGAAAGGTCTTAGTTTCACACCAAACCACTCTTATTTAATGTCATTATCATTTGATTACTTTCCCCTTTTAAAAAACGATTAGAGAGAAAAAAAAAAAAAAATCTCGTTGAAGTTAAACACCGAAAACAGCAGAACCCGTGACCCGCTTTGAGATTTTGAAGTTTCAGACAACAACAGTACGACAAAGACACGAAGCAAAATATTATTACAAAACAGTTTATTACCTAAACAAATTAAATAAATCGAAAAAAATAAAAATAAAACAAGAAAACATTGTTTCCACCAAAGCCACAATTTTTTCACGGTCTTTGCTTTTTGGTAAAGCTAATGCTTACGACTCTATCAAACTTCACTTTTTCCTTCTGCTCAGACCAAATCTTCTTCTTCTTCTTCCTTCTGTTCCCGAAGACCTTCTCGTATTCGATTTCATCACACACATTTGTCTGATCCATCAATCGGATTCGGGTGAGAAGTCTTTGACTTTGTTTTCTTGAAACTTCATTGCTTAAAGTTTCTAGCATTGGTCGGATTATTTACAATATTTTGTGTTCTGATTTTGGATTTTGAAAGTTCCTAAATTTGACTCTCAATTTCTATCTTCTTGGAAATTTCGTTACTCAATTTGGTTTATGGGTAGTTGTTATCAACTCTTTAATTTGGTTAATCTAGGGTTTTGACTTGCTTAAATGTGTGTTGAATCTATTGTTATCTCCAACATTGGTATGAGTTTCTTTGTTTGGATGTTGAAGAATCAATGTTTTGTTTACTTGTCTTTGAACATTAATGTTTCAGATTTTGTGGATTTCAAGAACAGATCTGTGAGGACATTGGAGTATATTACTAAGTCATAGTGGTTAGATATCTACTGGCATTTTTTATATCTTGGTTTTAAAAGATTTAGTTTTTTTTTTTTGTCTCAATTCCTTTAAGTCTAAGCATTTCCCTTTTTTTGTTTTGTTTATGTTACAGACACAATGACAAGGGTTACGCGCGATTTCCGGGATTCATTGCAGAGAGATGTTGTTCCAGCAGTATCAGCAGATGTGAAATTTGCTTCAAGTAGATTTCCTAATTATAGAATTGGGGCTAATGATCAGATATTTGATGTGAAAGATGACCCTAAAGTGCTATCGATGAAAGAGGTTGTTGCGCGCGAGACAGCGCAGCTTATGGACCAGCAGAAACGTATGTCTGTTCGTGACCTTGCCAATAAATTTGAGAAGGGTTTGGCTGCAGCTGCTAAGTTATCCGAAGAGGTCTCATATAATCCTAATTTGACGTTTTTTTTTCTTTTCTATTTGACTATTAATAGAGCTTTGAAGCTTTTCAAATTTTCTTATGTTAAGAAGAAAGTGCATTCTTTGGTTAGGTTTTGAAATTATCACTACAAAGTTTCTCTCTTTTTGTTGGGTTCTTATAGATGAAATGTATCTATTGTTTTGTTACTAGCTAGCCTATCTTTGGTTACTATGGAATCAATTTATTTGCACATTATGTGATTACCTTACTTTTTTATAAGCCAAGACACTGTTTTGATATATGTAAAGAAGTAAGGGATCAAGAAGGCCAATCTAGGTTGCTAAAGTGAAAATTTGATTATTGAAAGCAATATTTAAGGCTAATTTGGTTGGGTATGAATGCAGGCAAAACTCAAAGAAGCAACTTCCTTGGAGAAACATGTTCTTTTAAAGAAACTTCGAGATGCTTTGGAGTCTCTAAGAGGGCGTGTGGCAGGTAGAAACAAAGATGATGTAGAGGAAGCCATTGCCATGGTTAGTCTTTTAAAAGAATGTATCTTTTGCAATCTGAGCCTCAGTTATTTCAGCCATCATATATAGTTCCTGTACTAGCCTTTCAAAAAACCTAAATGTGTTTTTTTCACTTCAGTATTGTTTTTCTAAAATTGTCTCACAGACACTTGTTCCTCTATTCCTGAAGTATGTTTCGAATTTGTGAATTCTTAGGTTGAAGCTCTGGCTGTTCAGTTAACTCAGCGAGAAGGAGAGCTGTTTATAGAAAAAGCGGAAGTGAAGAAGCTTGCGTCTTTCTTAAAGCAGGTAAAACGTGCTCCTTGAGACGTTGACATATTTTTCTTATCTCGTATTAATGGGAATGAATAGTTAGGAGATGTCTGTCACTTGTCACCTGAAGAAACCAAGTCCTCTGAAATGGCAAAGATGTTTTCGTCCATGGCTTACTACCATTTAGGTTTTGTTAGTCCTTGAGGTACTCAGATAAATAAGAGAGAACTTGTCTTTTCTGTTTTCATTATGTCATTTAAGTACTGACATAATCTTTCATTTCCAATTCTTGATTTATTTTCTCGTTTTATTAATCTTCTTTTTCGGTTGTAAATTAGTGATTACTAGGTGGAAAAATTTAAGAAATTTGCGAAAGTGTGTTAATTTAATTGCTGATTAGTGGGTAGCATTCTTTAACTAGGCCTCAGAGGATGCTAAGAAACTAGTAGATGAGGAAAGAGCTTTTGCGCGTGCTGAGATTGAAAGTGCAAGAGCAGCTGTACAAAGAGTGGAAGAAGCCCTGCGAGAACATGAGCAGATGTCCCGGGCCTCTGGGAAACAGGTATATAGTGATGCCTTCTGCCATGATCTAATTAATATCTTATGCTTATAATGTTGATTCATGTACCATTGGAGATATCTCCAGCTTATTCTGATTCACTTTTGCACATGTAAACCAGCTTGTTGTACCATTTTTTTGTGAAGTATATAACACATATTATAGCAGGACATGGAAGACTTAATGAAGGAAGTTCAAGAAGCTAGGCGGATTAAAATGCTTCATCAGCCAAGCAGGGTAGGTATATGAGTGGTGGTTTATTTGTGGGGTTAAAATGGCTTTATCTGTCTGTCTAAGTCATTGCTTCTGTAGTATCTTATGTTGTTTTTAAAAGGTCAAATCATGTGCAATGTTTTAGGTAATGGACATGGAGTATGAGCTTCGAGCACTGAGGAATCAGCTTGCAGAGAAATCTAAACATTTTCTTCAACTACAAAAGAAGGTTAGTTGGATCTATATTTGATACACATGTTTATTCTTCTTAGTGCATTCCAGTTCCTTATACAAGCACATTTTTAATACTAAGTTACATTTTTCTATAATGCAGCTTGCATTGTGCAGAAAGAGCGAGGAGAACATATCCCTTATATATGAAATAGATGGCACTGAAGCTTTAGGTTCTTGTTTGCGAGTCAGATCTTGCTCCAATGATGCTCCTGATCTTTCCAAGTGTATGATCCAATGGTACCGATCATCTTCTGATGGCAGCAAAAAGGAGCTTATATCAGGTCCACTCACCTTTCCCATTTTTTCTTCCTCTTATTGAATTGTGTAAATATTTTATCCTTATTCATGTTCTATTCTGAGAGCTCGTCGATTACAAGTTAGATTGTTATTAACATCTAATGATATTGGAATCAAGAACAACACACAGCTGATGTAATTAAAGCCAAATCAAGTTGGAGATTGGTCTATTCATGGAGGACAGATAGTTCCTAACTATATTCCTTTCTCAGGTGCCACAAAATCAGTTTATGCTCCTGAGCCTTTTGATGTTGGACGAGTCTTGCATGCAGATATCACTTACGATGGCCGTTTGCTTTCATTGTCCACAGTTGGAAAGATTGATCCAGGTTCATTGTTATGTTATTTCCTGGAAAGGGTTCTTGTCTATGTCAACAGTATATAATGTTTTGAGTAGGTTTTGTTGCTTAGTAGATATTCTCTTTTACAATTCACTCTTACTACTACTTGCCCTGAGAGCAAAACATGAAACTTTATCGAAATAACTGCATTATTCTATGAATTGATTATGATTTCATCATTACTAGATGATTCATGAACTTAACAAAGTCTTGATTTTGGTGCAGCTGCTGGATTGGGTAGCTACGTGGAGGCTTTGGTACGAAAACACGATGTTGATTTCAATGTAAGGTTTCTCTAATGCTAAATCTTAATACAGATATGTATATCATACACAGAGATGTCTCGTCTCAGGCATATAGGTTATATTATAGTTCTCCTTATTGTAATTGACAGGTAGTTGTGACACAAATGAGTGGGGAAGACCATACATCAGAATCTATCCACTTGTTTCACGTTGGTAAAATGAGGATAAAACTTTGCAAGGGAAAGACAGTGATTGCAAAAGAATACTACTCTAGTGCAATGCAGGTAAGCATACTCTTGTTCCTTACAAAGTGTCATACTTTTTTAGTGTTACGCGGTGAGAACTTAAATAGCATAACCTTTGATGATCATATTTGAGTAGCTTTGTGGAGTGAGAGGAGGTGGAAACGCTGCAGCTCAGGCATTGTATTGGCAAGCAAAGAAAGGTGTGTCCTTTGTGATAGCTTTTGAGTCAGAGAGAGAAAGAAACGCTGCGATCATGCTTGCACGAAGATTCGCTTGTGATTGTAATGTAAGTATATAACAAAGATGAAGTTTAGAAACTATGGTTTTGTTGAAAGAGGTGTTGAAGTAAGTATGAAACTTGTGTTGTTGCAGGTGACGCTTGCCGGGCCAGATGACAGAACAGAGACAGGTCAAAGCCCATGAAGAACAGCTCTTACTTTAACTAAGTTGTGATTTTTAGTATCTGTAAGAGCTTCTTTTGTTTTGTAGCTTATATAGAGTTTAGGCATTTGTTTGAAAATTGTACTTCTGTTGTGTGTAAAGATATCGAATCAGTGATGTAAGAGGTGATGGTGAATCTATATGTAACGGGGTGGCTTGTGTTTATTCATTTGTTTTATGGCGTTCTTACTTGCCTTTGAATATACCGTAGAGCTTCTTCTCTTTTTGTTTTGATCATCTCTATGAACATCACTCAAACTCTTCTTGGATAGGTTCTCAAACAACACAAGGTTCTGACTTTTCGTTTGGAAGGTCTCTTAACACTAAGATATGTGACAACAAGACTACTATATGAAAATATCACTAAATTGAAACTCAAAGTCAGAGGAATACAAGAGAAACTTAAGATAAATGAAAAAACCACAAAAAAAAAAAATACTTGGTTCATGATCATCATTCTCTCTAACGGATCTCACAAAGATTCCAATACAAAACCAAACCAAAACAAAAGAAGAGAGAACACAAAGAGATCATCACAGCTACATGATCAACAAAAGGGTTATTATGTTTCTTCATGAACAAGAAACGGATTAGTCTTCGAGGTAAGAAAGAAGAGCGACTTCAGCGTTTTCTGAGACAGAGTATTTCTTGAACACTGCAGTTAGTGTACTCTCTGAAGCCAAGTCCCTTAACTTCATCAGCATTTTCGCATGCTCCCTGAAAAAAAAAAAGCCAACACAAACCATTCTTAAACTCATGACTGCAAAAATATCAATAACATGAAGCAAAAAATTACATTAGGTTAGCTTACACTATCTCATCTTCCGAGTAGCCAGTGTGATGTTTCAAAGTCTCAGTCCAAACCGGCGTCTTCTTAAGAGTCTTACGCGCAGCATAAACCGCTGAAGCAGCCAACATCGATGGGCGGTTCAAGACAACTATAGGATACTGCATAAGTCCCAGCTCAGCCAAGTAAAACACCAATTTCTCCATCTCAACATCACATGGAACAGAAGCTTTAACAAATCGCCCAAGGAACACATAAGGAGTTGGAACAGTGATGTACCATTCAACTTGTCCTAAGATCGATTTCTCCATAGCTAAAACCTGTTTCCTACTATACGCATTGTCCGAGATACAGACGAAATCATTAACCTCAGGAGCCCAAATCTCTTCATACTTGCAAGCTATAAGCATAGCACCTAACCCCAACAGCTGAAGCTCTCTTCTAGGAACCATTCTCAAAGATAGAAACCGATCAACGAGGTTAATGGTAAGGTAAAGCGTCTCAGGCATCAACTCAAACTTCCTATGAACATCAACAAGCCAATCAATCAGAATTGATCTCATCTTCTCGTTTATCTCAGGCTGTGATCCAATATAGTCTTTGATTCCTCCTTCTTCTTCTACTGTCTTGTAATACTTGAAGATGTCATCGACGTATTCCACAGCAGCAAGTTCGTTGTCAGCATCTACAGCATCAATGTCAATCACAGGATCCTTTACACTTTCTTTAACTCCACTCGCAGCCTATTAGACAATTAAAACAGAGGAGTTAGTTTATATCATAACATCAAACATGGTTTAATCATATCATAAAGATTCGATTTTTAACTACCTTGCTTCTTGCTCTTAAGGTTGCGGTGAAAGTCTTGGTTCCTCGTATAAGAGTTCTTCTACTAAAGTGTGGTTTACAGCTTTTCTCATTTTCATCAGGGCTAATAACAATAACCTCTGGTTTTGTCTGTTGCTGTTGCGGTTTTACCTTCTTCGCTACATCCTGAGGAGATAAAAATACTTGTATGAGTTACAAAATTGGATAAAGGTTCAAAGAAGAAAGAGTTCAAGAGTCGTTTAAAAATCTCACCTTTACGGTTACAACATCACGACCAGTAACAAGATTACCAATGTCTCCAAGAACTTTCCGGTTTTGTCTTCCATGTCCTGCAACATTCTTCGATTTGATTTCGCCTAATACAACAAACAAAACCCATCAGTACTTTTACAAAAAGACTCATCTTTTGTTGTTTATGTAAACGAACAGAACAGAAACTTAAAAGTCTCATCACATCAGATCGAATCATGAGAAATCAAACTAAAAGACATAACAGATTCGAAGTTGCGACAAGAACCCACTTAGTTGCAAGAAATCGAAGACAAAATCAAAGAAAACAAAAACAAACCTGCGACACCACGCTGATGAACAAGATCAGAAACCCTAGACGCCATTACAGAACCTTGTTGTTGTTCTTGTTCTTCTTCTTCGGTGATCTGAAGTAACGCTCCACCAATACTCGTTAACAAAGATGAAAAGAAATCGCGGAGACGATTCTTTCCCGTCCCGGCTTCAACCCAATCAGACGCCACCCTCTTCTGATTCAAAATCTCTTCTTTTTGCTTCTCTCTGAAAAAAAAAAACTCGATTGTGAAATTTGTGAATTGTGGTGAAGAGAAGGGAACTGTTTTATTTTATAAAAAAAAGGAAATTTTAAGTTCTCTCTAACGGTCATCTTTTTTTATTGAATCGAATCTTGACCGTTGATTTTACTTTTAATTGGGATCTAAAGGTTTAAAATTAGTGATGGGATAAAATCATAAAAATGTTAATTTTTAACTAGCCGTTGGGGACGAGGAGCCTGACGACATGTGGACCGGACTATAAGATTAACTATTTTTCTTAATACAGATTGTAAACAAAAGAGAAACCAAATTTCATTAAATAATTAATAATTTGAATAAATATAAGAGCAAGTCCAATGAAGATTTTATAGGGTATCTAAAGTAGAATTTAAAGTATAATAATAAAATTTAATGTAAATGTTAGTCTAATAATTAAGACTTGTGTCCTAAATAAGACACATTTGACAACTTAAGACTTGATGATGTGGCAGATTTCTATTGGCCGCGAAAAATAATAAATATATATTTTTAAAAGGGAAAATTCCATAAAAATTTCTCATCTATAATTTTAATTTGAAAGTTTAATACCTAATGTTATTTGGTTGGAAAAAAATGCATGGTTTATTAATTTGTTGTCTATTAATACATCAAGTATATAAAAGTTGTCGGATCGAAGAAACCGCTTAACAAATGATAATCGGATTGACGAAATCACTAAACCGGAGTTAATGAATTACACTAAACTTAGGGTTAAACGATCCCAATTCGATTTGGGGTAATAGCAAAGGACAATGCAGTCTTTGGATAACCCTAAACTACCCGTGTGTTTACGGATTAGTGATTTTGTCAACCTCGGTTTAGTGATTCCGTCAATCCGATTAAGCAGTTTATTCGATTCGAAAATTTTTATATACTTAATGTATTAATAGAGCAAAATTTAATAAACCATGCATTTTATTTGATTGAGTATTAAACTTCCAAATTAAAATTAGATGGGAAATTTTTATGGAATTTTCCCATTTTAAAAGAATAAAATATTTTAAAATTGAGTAATTAAGATTTTTTTTTTGTCATCTGAGTAATTAAGATTTGTATTGTATTTTTAACATGTATAAATATGTTTTTTAAATGAATAAAATATTTTTAAAATGAATAGTTAAGATTTATATTATGTTTTTAAAATGTATAAATATTTTTTGAATAAATATTATGAAAATGAATATTTAACATTTTTATTTTGTTTTAGAAATGTATAAAGTTTTTAAAATAAATAAATGTTTTTAATGAATAATTAAGATGTGTATTATATTTTACAAATGTATAAATATTTTTTTAGACACTTATATTATATATCTCCATTGGATGGGTAATTTTTAACTTAATTTAATAACTTAATATTTAAACATAAATGTCACATCACTAAAGTTTTAAGTTTAACAAATGGTAAGCGACTAAGCAATTTTTATATTGTCATTTATAAGATATCCAATGTTTTTCCTTATCATGTTAATTTTTTATATTTTCACTAATAATAACATATATTTTAAAAGAAACAACCATTCCAAATTTGGTGTAATAAATTAATAACCCAAAGCCTGTCACAATTTTGTTGGATTTGTTTTGTTAGTCTAAAATCGAAAATAGACCAAAACAAAATGATATGATATAAATCAATATAAAAATTTAACGGGAAGATATTTCTTTTTGTTAAGATATAATGATAAAAATAATATTTTTTTCTCTTTTTTTTATCTATGCATTTTATCTTGTTCTAAACTTAATTTCATCTCATATTTTCTTAAATTTAAATCATCTTATCATATATATATAAAAGATTGATAGTTTTATGTATATGTTACAATATAGTTTTTAAAATGGTGAATTTAATTTTAATACCTATTTGACCAAAAAATTAGATTTTAGGAAAATATACATAGTCTATTAGTTCTGAAACATGGTCCACTAAAAAATTACAAACCTTACCCTACATAATATTTTAGAGAAGTGATACCTGTTAAATATTATAATCTTGTGGTAAGTTTTATATCATGTGCTAACATATTTAAATATTTGTATGTACATTGTAAGATAGTTATTATATAGATAATATTTACGTTAATATGCTAAGTTATTCAATATTCAATAAATTAAAATTTTAGCATGTTAACTTATTCAATATATGATAAATTGAAATTTAGCATGCTAAGTTATTCAATATTGGATCAATTAACATTATAACCCTATCCACATGTCATCGAATAGAGTAGCCGAAGTTTTATATCTGACAACCGGATGATTTCTCCTCTCAGATAACATATTAAATATCTGAATGATATCGTATGCACATGGTAAGATAGTTGTTATACGAATAATATTTATATTAACAGTCTAAGTTAATATGCTAACTTATTCAATATTCGGTAAAGTGATATTTAACATATTACACAAAGTAGACGGGCACGGAACCGTATTATCGGGTTGTTTGATGCAAATAACACTTGGACTACCGAAGACAAGAATATTTATAATATAGCGGCTGATTATTTTGAAGAATTGTTTACTACAAGTCACCCCCAAGATTTTGAGGAAGACTTGCGGGAAGTGAGGATGGTGATTACGAAGGAGAGAAACAATTTTTTAACAGCACTGGCTACGGAAATTGAGGTCCACGATGCTTTATTTATGATGCACCCGGATAAGGCGCCAACCCCGGATGGGATGACAGCTTTGTTCTTTCAGAAGGCGTGGAGGGTAGTCAAGTACGATTTGATCAATTTGGTTAATTCCTTTTTCCGGGATGGGGTTTTTGATAAATGGCTAAACAATACAAATATTTGCCTCATTCTACAGGTAGAGCGGCCGACACGAATGACAGAGTTACGACCCATTAGTTTATGTAATGTGGGATATAAGATTATCTCGAAGGTTCTGTGTCAACGATTAAAAATGGTACTGCTAATTTTGAAAACACAATCTGCATTCATTGCGGGTCGGCTAATTTCGGATAATATCCTACTCGCCAAGGAAATGTTTCACGGCTTCGGACCAATTATGTATGTAAGGGGTCCTATCTTGGATTACCAGAAAGTTTCAGAGGTGCAAAAACTAAAGTTTTTTCTTTCGTTCGGATCGTTTGAATAATCATGTTAATGGTTGGTCGGCAAAACTACTGTCTAAGGGCGGAAAGGAGGTGATGATTAAATCGGTGGCATATGCTCTACCGACCTACGTGATGTCATGTTTTCAGCTCCCGAAAACTATTACGTCAAAATTAACAAGTGCTATCGCAAAATTTTGGTGGAGTAAAAATGGTCAATCTAGGGGTATGCATTGGCGGGCTTGAAAGAAGTTGTATTCGAGTAAGCAAATGGGCGGTTTAGGGTTCCGAGATGTTAATGATTTTAATTCTGCAGCGCTTCTAGCGAAGCAGCTGTGAAGACTGATGGATGCTCCTGAGTCCCTTTTTGCACGGGTTTTAAGGGTTGGTATTATAGGAATTCAAATCCAATGGAACCGATTAAATCTTACTCCCTGTCTTACGGTTGGAGGAGTATAGTTTCAGCTAGATCTCTAGTTAAGAGAGGACTTATTAAACGGGCTGGATTAGGTGATTTTGTGTCTGTTTGGACAGATCCATGGATCCTAGCTCAATTCCCAAGACCAGCTTTAAGTAATGGGTCGCTTAAGGACCCTTCTCTACAAATTCTACATTTGATAGATTGCTAGACAAAATCTTGGCGCATGGAAGCGCTTCATGAGAATGTTGCCCCACTTGATGTTGCCTTGATTAGTGCCCTTCCAATAGGTAATTGGCTTCTCGAGGATTCTATAGAAAGTATGGAAAGTATACAGTGAAATCTTGTTATCATACGGCCAGAATGACGGATCCTAAATTATTATTCCTCATGTGTGCAGCCTGGATATTAATCCATTGTTATCCCGCGTCTGGAAAGTGCGATGTCCACCAAAGATATAACACTTTTTGTGGCAATTATTGATGGATTGTGTTTCGGTTTCGGCTAATTTGAACCGATGCGGGATTAACTGCGATCCTAAGTGTGTCCAGTGTGATGCTCCGGCGGAGACGGTTAATCATGCTATTTTTGAATGCCCACCAGCATGTCAATCATGGGCTTTGGCGAATGAATGTGGGCCCTTTATCTTTCCCAACAAAATAGTGTACGCAAATATGGATTATCTTCTTGGTTTATCCTTAGATAATAACCAAGATGGCTCTTATCCCTGGCTTTTGTGGTATATCTAGAAACCTAGGAATGCTAAGGTTTTTGAGAATATGGATGAGAGTCCCTTGAGAGTTGTCAGGAATGCTTAAGCCGAGGCGTTAACGTGGTAGGAAGCTCAGCTGGAGGTTATAGTGACGCCCCCGGGACCTGTAGTTACTAGGAATCGGTCACAAACCATCAGGGTTTTCTTATCTTCTATGACTACGTGTTATCGTTGTTTTATAGATGGCTCCTGGAAGGAAACAAATATGTATTCAGGATTAGGTTGGTTCTGTCAGCATGCTCAAGATTCGACGACGACTATGGGAGCGTCAAACCTCCGACGATGTCTTTCTCCTCTCCATACTCAAATAGAAGCACTGGTGTGGGCGATGAGGTGCATGATTGGTCACAACCACAGAGATGTTTTGTTCCTTACTAACTGTTCAGACTTGGTGAAGATGGTGTCTTCCCCTTCCGAGTGGACGGTTTTCTCTGTTTACATGGATGATATCATCGCTGATAGGGAACAATTCTCAACATTTTCCTTATTACTTATCCCAAGAAATTTGAATATAAAAGCGGATAACTTGACACGCATGGCTTGTTCCAGTCCGCAAATTGTTAAGTTTGTAAACAAAAAAAAAGATATTTAGTATGCTAAGTTATTCAATATTCAATCAATTAACATTTATTTCCTACTAGCAGGTCACCATCGCATGAATTCATTTTTCATAAATCTAATAATTGTATTGTTGTCTTATGTGTGTGCTAAAAAGATAACATATTACACATGTGATAAATGTGTCCTAAAAGGAGAGAAATACTAATAGAAATAAATTTAAGTGTATTATTGTCTTATATGTTTGTATATATGTGTCAAATAGTGTGGGAGAGAAAAAATTAATTAACTGGTCAGCGAGGTATGTTCCTTAGTATTACCCTTTTAAAAACTCAAACAATTTACTACCCTATCATATCATGCTATATGTATAGTATAAAAGAAACTATATGATATATGTAGGAAAATGGGCTTAAATGTGGGTTTAAAATTCAAATTAGTTAAAAGTACATATCTATTATAGCACATGCAATAGTTCAATGTATGAATTCAACATAGTAAAATTGTACAGGTATGAAAAATATCATATCCCTATATATGTATATAACATGTCATAACTCATAACCTTATTAAAACTGTATCAAATGTTATTAAATGTTATCAAGCGTGAATAAGATAAGTAAAATTTTCTCATATATTATGTCTTTATTTGTCTTCTCGAGAGGACCAAAATACAGTGAGCTAATTAGACCATCTACAATAGGAGTCTCTCACCAAGTTTCTCAACAATATTAAAATAAAATAATTATAAAGTTCATAGGAGATATACAAGTACAGCAAGATACATTATAATTGTATTACACATTGGATAATAGGGAAAACAATATGTATTCCTTATGAACTTTCATATAGCACCACAACTACACAAATTTCAGCTTCGATCTCAGTATATCAAAATTGGAACTTTCAGTCCAGTTTCCCTCTAATTTGAAAGTTCAAAATATCAATCTCCATTATGGTTGGTTAACTCATTTTATGACATAAACCCGATGCCAAACCAAAAACTATGTAGAGTAAACCAAATTGAAACCCGGCTCAAATTATTCACAATCAAAATTAAATGTACATAGATAGAGAAATTTAAGAACCCTAGTTTCTGTTTCCTCTCTTCAACATCTTTGATTTCAATATAAGTTTCGGTGGTTTCCTCGTCAACTTTTATTCAAAGAATCAATAAAATAAAAGAATAAGGAGTTTTTTTCTCTCTTCGTTGATACATCATGCTTTTACTTGATGCAGGAACTAGTGATGTCAAAATGGGCATGACTACCCATTTAATTAAATGGGTCCTTTATATAAAATTAGACCCATTTACCTCAAATTATTAAATGGGTTTATATGGATTCCCCCCTTTTGACCCATTTAGTAAGTGGGATTTAAGTTAAATAAATGGGTTAATGGGTACCCATTTATATATTTAATTATATTTAATATAAATATTTAATATTTTAATCACAAATTATAATAATATTAAATAATTAGAAATTACCGTAGTTTAACTTAAATTATAAAAACAAAATTCAAACCTTGTTTTTTAAAATCTTTTTTTCCCGCCAAAATTATAAAATCTTGTTCTTCCGCCAAAACCGTAAAATTATGATTTTCCGCCAAAAACATAAAACTGTTTTCCCCACCAAAATTATAAAATCTACTTTTCCCGTCAAAACCGTAAAATCGTGTTTTCCCGCCAAAACCGTAAAATCGTGTTTTTCCACCAAAAACGTAAAATCGTGAAAACCATAAAAATCATATTTTCCCGCCAAAACTTTAAAGACTTATTTTGTCACAACAAATAAAAACGTGATTTCTACCAAAATAGTGTAATCATGTATTTCCGCCAAAACCCTAAAAAACAATTATATAATTATTTATCCATTTAATTCAAACAATCAATAATCAATGATTTTTAATAAGTAATAGTTATACTGTAAATTTACAATTAATTATTATATGGGTAAAAATGGTTAAATGGGTAATGAGCATTTAAATGGGTTTGGGACTAAATGGGTCTAAACTTAAACTTAAATAGGACTAAATGGGTTTAAGGTAAATGGACTAAATTTTAAATGGGATGGGTTTAAATGGGGTGGGTTTACCCATATTAACATCACTAACCGGAACTAACAGGATACCTCATTTTAACGACTTAACCAATCAAAATATAACAATTAATACATGTTATCATTCTCCTCCAATAATAACTCACAGTTCTACGTGATCTCACTCTTCTATTTTTGTTCATCGATATCCTATGAAAAAGTAATAAAGAAAATGTGACAAAGCCTATCAAGGTTGCGCTTGCGGTTTCAAGCGTTATTAAACTTTTGAATTGACTAATTTAGCATAAGAAAATGTGTGCGTTACAGGGAGTTTTATGACTGGTTGACTAATAGGTAAATTAAAAATAACAAAAATATATAAATATAATTTAAAAATATATTAAATGACCAAAAATATATCATTTTGATAAAATATATTAAAAAATTGATATGGTTAATAATTAAAAAGCATTAAAATTTACTAAATCATTATTCGAAAACAGCTAAATTTCATAATAAACTAAATATATGAAAATTATAAAATGTTGGAAAATTTCAAAAATACCCCTTTTGAAATACCACTTTTTAAAATACCCCTTTTAAAGTTATCAAAAAAATCCACTAAAAATACTGAAATTTATCCAAATATATGTGTAAACTTATAAATATACACAGAAATTACCTTTATATGTGTATAACATTTATATATATATATATATATATCATAAATACAGTATAAATGCCTTATATAAACCTTTTAAAAACCTTATAAACCCTTATAATAACCTTTTAAAAACCTTGTAAACCTTGTAGAAACGATTTAATACCTTTTAAAACGTTATAAATTATTTGGATCTAACCTCCCTATAGTTGTTATTATGTAGAAGTATCTTATAAATCATATAAAACTTTATAATTTTTCATATTTAAACAGGGGTACTTTTGAAAATGGATAGACAAAAGGAGTATTTTTTAAAAGGGGTACACCAAAAGAAGTATTTTTCAAAAATTCTCTAAACTTTTAAAGCATACTATTAAACCGTAAATAATTACTAAATAATCATTCAAATATTAAACAAATTTTTATACTGAGACACAAATAATTATGAATATTGGAAAATTAAAGTTAGAGAATCATTATTGTTTGAGAATTATCGTCAATATATATAGGATTTGATTTATTATTTTAAGTTTACAGATTATTATTTTTTAGATTCTTTGATGTTTTAAATTGACCGCATTCATCCGCAACTACAAACGCTTGCGGGAAGGAGCTTTCGAAATCCAGCGGTTTCGACATTTGGTCAAGCAAATTTGTAGTTCTATAAAACTTTTAAAGTTTGGTCTCAAATAAGTATTCTTTTATTTTTATCCAGTGATCTAATGAAAAGGATATATTGTAAAAATCTGATGATTTGATTCTTGTATATTGTTGAGTGGTTTTATTACATTTGATGATAAAAATATTACTTTCAAGACAGGTGGCTTCTAAAGGAAGAGTTTGGTGCTAGAAATGATTTGGTTTTGCCATTAATAGATCAGATTGAACAGAAATTCCATTGCATTTCTTAAATTCTGCATATGATTTTTGAAAAATGTAACAATGATGATATTAAGAATTCGGATACATTACGTAAAGTATGTGTACAGATGCATACAACAATTGACTATTATTTACAAATATATGCATTCGGGACTTTACAATACATATATTTTGTAAAACTAACATGTAACAAGTATTAGTAATGTATGTATTTGTATTACTTTAAAAATTTAAAATAAAAATAATTTATAGAAAAACACTGCAGCGTAGCGCATGTTTTAACCTAGTATTCTTTTAATAATTTTAATTTTGTACTATTATTTTGTATAATTTTGTACTATTATTTAGAGTTTGTACCATTGCCTTAATATGACACCAATTTTTTTTTTTTTGAGCAAATATATGACACCAATAAATCTAACATCTGACCTTAAAATAATAAGTTAAGTCTGTTTTGACCAAGAATAATAGTATTTTCTAAGGAAGTAAATTTATTGATCATACCAGTGTCTGTAGTAAATTGGTATGTTTACAAAAATAAATAAATTTACTAGCTTATTTATGGATGGGAAATAAATGTTTCTTTGACCCAAAAATAAAAACTAATGTTCTTTTTAGAATTTTAAGTTGAAGTTTACATCATGTATTTAAATAGATTAATAATGTCCCTATAAACATACAAAAGAGCAGTTTAGAAAGAAGAAAAAAAAACCCTAGAAACCGGAAAATATGGAGAGGAAGAAATCACTTGCTTTCATTGTTAACTTGCTTATCATATTTAGCTCAGGTATTACTTTATCTTATGTATATCTTTCAACGGTTATGTTAAATAAACAGTTAACACATATTTTCTTACAGTGTCTCCCATGTTGTGAAATATATTTCTATTATAAGAATTTGCAAATTTTTACACATAGTCAGCCATATGTACACTTATCATCTTCAATATTATAGGGATTCGATTCTTGAGTCCCTCAATAAAAAAAAATAGGCCATGAAATTTTGGATAATAATTTTATTATATGATAGTGATAGTGAATATTCTTACAATAATAACAAGTTCAAGATTTAGCATGTCTTAACCATAAATAAATACACATATGTAATTATATATGTTCAATTTAATGACATATACAATGTTACAGTTGTGAATCAGGCTAGAGGAAATACATGTACCGATGGATTAGGCAGTTGTGAAAACTGCGACGCGAGATGCAAGGCCAAGCACGGATTATCGAGCGTAAGCAGCTGTGATCACAGTATTGGATTGCCAATTCCGCTATGCACATGCTCTTACCAATGTGGTGGATCCCCGCCTTCACCACCTTCCCCAAAAATTTGTAACGGTGGGGGTGGTATATGTAGTCAAAGATGTCCGAAAACATGTTGTGAGATAAATTGCGCACAAAAATATAATGGTGGACATGGATTTTGTAACACTCTTGGTACATTTAGTTTGTGCCAATGTGTATACCCTTGTTAAAGCCGGTTCAAAAAATTGTTAAAAACTTATTTCTTTTTTTTTGTTTTGTCTGAATAATTCAGTAAAAACTTTCAGTGAGTTATACAATATGGCAAGGAGAAAATCCTTCCAAACAAAAACCGGCGGTCACATAAAAACCCCCAGAAACAAAGACCCAAAATGGGTCAATCAATGAAGGAAAAACCTTAAAGAGAAGGGTTAAAGACAAATATCAAAAGATCCCAAGCAACACAACTGATAACTCTTCACCAAAACGATCCAACGTACGTTTCCATAGAACAATTTGGAGCTGGAAAGAGGTTTGATTAGATGAAACAACAAGAGCTTCGAAGAGGACCCGACATTAGATTGCCTTCAGCAGAGAAAGCCCAAGGAGGGAACTAAAACGAGCTCACCAAAACCACGACTCCAGCAGAAATGAACACAGACAAACAAGAGGATCAAAGCACAGATCCTTACCATCACTACCACTCCAAAAACCAAGGGATACGAGAAGGCGTAGCTACAAGGAGAACCCCTGAGATCCGGAGGGGAAAACTTCAAAGAGGACCACCATTACTTGCACGCGGACATTCGTAGACCCAACCAAAGCCACCTACAGACTAAGAACTGGTTACGCCAACGCAGGAGAAGGAATCGAGACCGAGTCGCCGCAAAGTCTAGAACCCAAACGTAAACCCATCGGAGAAATGTCTAGAGCTAGTAGGTGCCTTTGCAAAAAACTACCATCGGAGAGAAGAACCCACAACACAAAAAATTCACCTACTCACACCAATAGTAACCAGGGGAAAGAAGACAGAGAGGCAGAGCTAGGTATCGAAAATGCCAACCCTAATCTTGAAACTAAGGATTTACTACTCAACCAAAGTAAGACACCAGAGGAAGAGAAAAACCAATCTAGAGATATATTACGGAAGTCGTTGCCACAAATGCAACCGGAGCACGCAACATACCAACATTAATTCCAAGCCAACAAGATCAGAACTAATGATGAGATCAGAGATTCATCAACCTAACCAGAACAACTAAAACTCTACACCTAAAACAAAACACCAACTGAGGCCACTATCAAGAAACAGGGGATATACCAAACACGCTTGACTTGATGAAATTGAAATCATTTACCGGACAAGGAATCGACCACCCCAGCCTATAAGAAGAAAATCCCTCGGACAAAACACCACCGAGCATCGTGACGTCTCAGATCTGGAACTTCAATGGGCTTAGACTCCAACGACACAACAAAAGAAATCAATCAATGGCAAGACCAAAACAAAACACAAGAAGAGAAAACAAAGAAGGCACACAACACTGGGTCTATAAAGCCATCGGACGTTTGTCAGAAAGAGCCTACAAAATAGCGAGAATATCCGAACAATTTGTGGCAAAGTAGACATCACTCTGACCAATCTCTATCATACACTCCATAGCCCAAAGAAGGCCATCGAACTCGGCATGGAGGGGCGACAAACTCCTTCTGACGCTTTTGAGGCCAATCCGAGAGTGACCTCTCAAGGAATTTCCTCGAGCTTCCAGCAAGATCCACCCCATGCCACTGAAAGGATCAGAATCAAGCCAAGAAGCGTCGCATTGACATTCCAAGGGTGGAATACATGGGGATCTGGAAATTTCCAGTTTAATGGACGGGGGGTCTAAGGCGACGTCTGTTTCCATAGCTTGCCTCCACACTTGAGCTTCGTGTGTAGCTAACAGGAGGGTCTTATCCGGGGTCTGTTTGAGAAAGCCCGTAATCGGTTTATGTTTGAGAAAAACCGTCCCTGAAGTTGGAATAGAGGAGAGAGCCCAAATTTTCCTAGCAGGAGGGCACTCAAAAAGGAGATGATTAATCGTCTCCTTTCTAAAGCCACACCTGAAGCATCCTCTCTCGTTACCAATATGCCGATCAAAAATTCTTTGACATGTTGCTACGTAACCCGAGAGACATTGCCACATAAAATTCTTTAGCTTTCTAGTGGTTTTAGTTTTCCATACTTGTGCCCCAAGTACCGAAACATCCGGTCCCTGAAAAGGGCGGTCATAAGAAGGGCGAGAAAGGTTCCTCGCGGCCCAGTATCCTGATTTCACAATATAGTTTCCAGATTTTGTATGCACCCAACTATACTCGTCACTCAGGGAAGTCCGACTAGGACGAATACCAAGAATAAGAGGAATATCCATTGGATCCACCAACGCATTTAAGTGGTCGAGATTCCATTGATGGTTATCCCTATCCAATAAATCATTAGCATACAGATGCAGATCCTGAAAAGCGAGAACAGTTTTAGCAGGTCGAGGTGGAATTATGGGGATCCACGGGTCAACCCAAACTCGAGTAAGCATTCCCGAACCAATAGTTCTGCGAAGATCTGAGACAATCAGAGGTTTCACAGCAAAAATACTCCTCCATCCATAGGAGGGACGATTAGCTTTAACTATTTGCAGAGGGTCACTATACCAATAATATCTACCCCTCAAAACCCTCCTCAAAAGAGTGTTTGAGAAGCGAAGAAGCCTCCATAATTGTTTAGCTAAAAGAGATTCATTAAATTCCTCCAAGGTCTGGAATCCAAGTCCTCTTTCCAAAAATTGGGTACACAATTTATCCCGAGCTATCCAATGAATGCCATTGCTCTCTGCTCTGGTTTTCCACCAAAAATTAGCAAAAGCATTACTTAACTTGGAGAGGATAGCTTTGGAAAGTAGGAAACACGACATAAAATATATCGGAAGAGCTTGAGCCAACGCCTTTCCCTCCTTTCGATACAAACTTAATGGACCACATACTAGTTCGTATCTAGAGTTGATCACGAACAAAGGCAAAAACTTGATTTTCATGCATGTTATGTCACACTTACTGTAAGAGTAAAGGTTCAAAACATTTGAAGTTAAACTTCTGTAAAGGACTTATCTTTTGAATACGCGAATATTTGTAAAGAGCTGTTTAAACATAAATAGATTTCCATAATCTATATATATAATGGGAGAGTTCTCTCTCCCTCTAAAGATATCCACGTCAGCATCATTTTTTTTTGTGTGTCTAACCCAAAAAAATAATTGAGACCCAAATATATATCTCTCATGGCCTATTTAATTTGTAATGTAATGCCCAAATTATATATTTATCTCTCTCCATTTTTTTAAAATTAAATATATTTCAAATGTTTATTTCATGCATATTTATATACTCATAATTGATAGAAATTTAATTAAATAGAAAACAATTAAAATAAGAAAAAAGAATTAAACTAAATAAATAAAATTTAAAATTCCTAAAAGAAATATTGTTAAAATGTTATTAGTAATATCACATTTCCAGTGATTTAATGTGTTAATGAGATGGAATGAGATTTATAATGGAACAAAAATATTAAATGCATGGTAGAGTAAAAAAATATAATGACTATACATATAAAACTTATAAACAAAAAAAATTAAAGTGAAATATTAGTTCCAAAGAATGATATACTACAAAGAGTTTTTATTTATTATTAAAATTCCATTTAAATAAAAGTAAATGTTTACCAAACTCAAATTTAAAAAATAATAATTTAAAAATATATTGTAATGGTTGCATTTTTTTTGTGAAATCAGAAAAACTTGAATATATAAAAATCTTTTTGCACTTTTTCTGGTACAAAAAAACTTGAAAATTTATAGAACATTATATTCCATCTTCTATAAACGTAAAATAATCAATTGGTTATATTAATATTAGGGGTAATCTTATGAGTTCTACAACAATATATATAAAAAGTGAATATATAAGCTCTCCATACTAAAAGGCTAATATTTTTGACAAAATGTATATGCTTCATATTACTTTTTATTACCACCAAATCGTGCTCCATAAATGTCACGTATGAAGTCCAACCCTCAAAAAAATGTGATTTACCAAAAATGAGGAAATAAAAAGTTGAAATACATTAAAATCTCAATTTGAGGTAAAAATCAAAAGTTTCTTATTAAAAGATAAAATCAAACTAAAATTTTTAGAATCTATCTTGGAGGACCGCCAAATCAAAATATGGTGAAAACGAAATAAAGCATAATGCCTACGACAAAGGATAAAAAAAATCGAAAATGGTGTCGGCATCCTCCTTTGCTAGATTGAGTCTCTTCATGCTTGAATATCCCGTCCAAGTTAATCTGTTGATTATAATGGCATCTCCGACTAATAAGGTTTATGCAAAGTAAACAAAAAAAATAGAAATAGTGGATCTCATCGAGTAAAATAAAATTAAAAAAGTAAGTAAACTATCTAAAATTTAGATCGACTCTTAAATCAAACACAAAGAAATTTTTATGCATTATATGAGCTTGGCAGGACATGTCATAACTGCATGCTCAATTAAAAAAGATTTTAACAAAAAAAAATACTATACCATGGGTTAATATTTAAAATTTTGAGATTCTCTATTGATAAGACCCACAATTCAAATAGATAAAAACGACTTAACAAAATTAAAAATATGATAAATTAACTTTTAGTCAAATTTAAAAATATGACAATAAAAAATGGAAAAAACAAAATAAAAGAGTAAAAAATAGTTTACAGTCAAACTTTCCTTTTAAGGTAAAGCTTTTAATCTAACTATATTAATACATTCGTCCAAACAAAACCAAAAACATTAATTGGAATACGAGTAACAACAGTGCCACACAAATGAATAACTAACAGTATAAGATTATAATATTTGAATATAGAAAGAAAAAAAAAACAAAATATAGCCAAACAAATACGACACAAAATGTACATACGATCATTAGTCTTAAAAATATAACACAAGATAAAAAATAATTAAGGAAAAATTCATAGCGAACAACCCCGCGCAACGCGCGGGTCTCCTCTCTAGTTAAATATATATTAGAACTAATTGATCAAAACGTTGATTTTTATTTTATTTTTTATTTTACCTCCGTTGATTTTGTTTCTATAAGACCCTTTCTTTTGTATATGAGAATATTTGTAATGATTTGTTCAAACTTACTTTGTTTGCTTATTAAGATACCAAAACCAACACATTCTAATGTTTTAATTAAGTTTATAATCGATATGAATTGTGAGTGATATTTGATTATAATGTGGATAAATAAACATAGACTCTTTAGGTCAATTAAATTAGGATGAATAAAAAACTATTTACCAAAAAACTATAGTGTATATATAATATTAATCTTAAACACTTAATTAACCTTATACGTAGGTACTTAGATTGACTAGATACTGTAAAAATACTTGAAAGAAATTGGTAATGAGAATTACTTCTGAAACTTGTGCATGCTATAATACTACAAACTCACATTTCTTGATTCTTGATGTATAACCAAATATTATATAATTAAGTATCTCAGTAGTCAAGAAGATATACAATACCATGGCAAAGTCACCTTCACATTTAGATGCTTTGTTTATGGATACAATCATAAACTTATGTTCAATGTTTTACGTATGAATCAATCAATACAATAAAAGAACAAGGAGTTTCTCTCCCGCATTGAAACTAATCAATACAATAAAAGAACAAGGAGTTTCTCTCCTGCGTCGAAACTAATACAATATAAAGAAAATAAAGATAAAAGGCTAATGAGTTTTGGGAAAAATGCCATAAAAATCCCGATTTTGTTGGTTTAACTCCCGAACTTTCTAACTGTTGATTTAAATCACAAACTTTCTGTTTACTCTCTCTTTAATATGAAACTTTAATTGACTTTGCCAATTTAGGCACATCGTTAAATCGCCAAACGGAGCAATTAAACGGGTTTGAATGTCATTAACGAAATCCGTCAAATACAAAATGAAACCGTTTTTAACATAACCCAAACACTTAATCGATTCAACTTTTTCCCCAAAACACTTAACATAAAGTTGAATCGATTAAGTGTTTGGGTTATGTCAAAAACGGTTTCATTTCATATTTGACGGATTTCGTTAACGACATCTAACCTCGTTTAATTGCTCCGTTTGGCATTTTAAAGATGTGCCTAAATTGGCAAAGTCAACTAAAGTTTCATATTAAAGAGAGAGTCAACATAAAGTTTGTGATTTAAATCAACAGTTGGAGAGTTCGAGATTTAAATCAACGAAATCGTACTCTCCAGGATTTTTATGGCATTTTTCCCAATGAGTTTTCCAAAAAGATTGGTTTAGCTTAAGTTTGTATTGAGAATCTTTTCGGAAAACTCTTTGACCTTTTACCTTTATTCTCTTTTTTTTTTTAATAATCAAAGAGGTTTTGAGGCGAATCTCATACATCCCCTCAGGTCCGAGACCAGAATATGTTATATGGTCGCGTTTAAAGTGCTACTCGAACTGGCGACCTCTAAGCTTTTGGCAGAGATCTTTACCAATTGAGCTATTAGCACTTGGTTATCTTTATTCTCTTTGTATTGCTTTAGCTTCAGTTTGTATGAATTACCCTTTATTTTGAGGTTTTATGTGAATGAAATCTTTGCCAAGAAAGGTTGTTTTTGCATAAAACCGTATGGGAAAATGTGAAATGCAGGTTACATAACTGAAAACAAATCTAGAGTGTAACTAAAACTAGTTGTTAGCAAGGAGTAAAAAGGAATCAACAATGAAACCACCAAGCTCCTAATCAATCATTTGAAAATATGAGTTCATCACCTTAATATAACTTTGAATAATGTTAAAATCGAACAACGAAAAAAAAAAAAACGTCATATATTGAATCACTATCTTATTATAACTTAGAATAACGTCACATGATTCGCACGCATCAAACTATATTACACAAATAACCATAACTATGATATATGTATGGATTATTCTCATAACTAAACTTATTATGGAACTTGAAAGACTTTGGAAATAAAAAGATTAGAATTTGGAGATGAAGTCAAGGATAATTTGGAGAATCTCTTGAGGCTTTTCTTGGTTAATGAAGTGAGCAACTCCTTCCATGACCACAGGCTCTTCGAGCAAAGGCACATCTTTCTTAAACTCGGGACCGTTTATGTATTCCTTAACACCAGGCACATGGTAGACCATATCAAGATCCCCTATGACAAACTTTGTAGGCACTTGGATTTTACATCCTAGTTCCTACCCATGGACCCAACAGCTCATTGTTCCTGCCATTACAAAACTCATTTCACACTTCTGCCTAAACAATAGGGACATCAACATATTGTTCTGTTCAAAAACTTACCGGTTAAAGTTACGGTAGTAATTGAATGGACCGGAGAAGCCTTTCTTGTCAAACTTGCTGACGAAGTAAGCAACATCTTCCTCAGTTAGCCAAGACGGTAAAGGTATTGATTCGTCTTTCGATCCCCAAAAGGTTTTGTCTTTCGGTAAAATAATCGGTCCAGTAGTTCTAATAGTGAGAAACTTCTTCATAACTCTCTCTGTTCCAACCTCTGCAAACTCAGCTTCTACATCTCCAACTTCCTACACTCCAACCATCAAAACCCTAAATATTACTTCAACTTCAAGTAATAAGCAAGAAGAGTATAACGAAGGAATAATTGGGATTTTAGTACATTTTTCAAACTTAATTAGTAAATAGTACAATTACTATTTATAATTGGCAAATTAGTCACCTTTCCCTATTTTCCACTATTTTGAAGACTTTATAACCCTCTCATCCCTCTCATATTTACTCTAAATGCCATTAAACTTACTTTTTTATATATTTTTCTGTATTTTCTTTTTCTCTCTTTTATAATCTAATAAATAAAATATTAATTAATATAATTTTTTTTTCTGATTTTCTGATACATTAAATTTATATATATACACAATTTTTATTTTTACACTCATATTTACTGTATATTATATAATTTATATGAATAAAATATGTATATATGTACAG